GGTCTTCAGCAGCTCTCGAGGCCAGAAAAGTGTGGCATTGTCGTCAGCAGAGGCAGAATTGAATGCCTTGGTGAGTTCAGCCGCAGATGGTATCTACTTGAAGAGGTGCTTAGAATTCCTGATGGAGGAGACGGTGAGACATGAGTGCCTCGTGGACAACTCGGCTGCACTACACCTTTGTCACCGACGAGGACCAGGCAAACTACGCCACATAGCTGGAAAATTGCTATGGATCCAAGATTTAGTGGCGCAGGAGGAGCTGCAAGTCAAAGCTGTTGGAACCACCTACAATGTGGCCGACCTGGGTACAAAGCCGCTATCGAGATCCAGAATCACTCTGATCCTCTACTGGTGCAACACCAGGAGCAGTACTGATGAGAGAATTGGAGAGGAGGAGCTCGCCAGGTTGGAGGAGAGCAAGGTGAACGGCATCAAGATCAACAAGTTGGCGAAGCTGCTGAACCGTATCCTCCTCTTCGGGGGTCTTGAGCAGGTGACTGCAGAGAGGTCAGAAGTGGTGGAGGAAGCTCCAACGAGAAGCTATGGCACTATGGTCTTCATCGCAATGCTGATGTTGATGATTGCCGTACTTGCATGGGCGGTATGGTGGCTATGGAAAGTGGTGGAAGAGCTGAAGGTGAAGATTGCAGATGCAAAAGACAGCGCCTATGTGAACGGCGTCTCAACAAGAGCCTATGTGCAAGGCATGCGAGAAGAGATAAAGACAATGAAGGGCTACATCGAGAGGATTCATCGAGGATTGGTAAAAGCTTCTGGATATGTCGACAATGAAGAAGTCAAAGAAGAGGATTGGAAGCATTGGGACTACATTCAACGTTCAAACAGGGACTTTGATTGGAGGAGGCTTCACGCCCAAATCAAGGCATACAAGGAAGCTTGTGAGAAGGATGAAGGGCCTATCGACTTGAGGCCCTACAGGAACACCGAGGATGAGGCCATGGAGGGTGAAGAGACTGTGACCATTCGTCTCGACAGTGGTGAAGTGGTCGAAGTTCCTGTCCGATTCATCGAGACTCGTGAGCCTGAGAGTGAGGAAGACGTGCCCACGACAGCGATGGAGGTGACTGAGCCGCCAGAGCAGGTGGAGTGGGCAGAAGAAGACCTACCAGTTCCGGAGTCAGGGATCGAAGATCCAACCGTGAACCAGGCAACAAGTTCCTGGATCACGAAGGACGAGTTTGAAGATCTAGCGAAGTTTGATGGCCCAGAGGCACGATCAGGTCTCAGGGCGAAGCAACACATGCTGAAATTGCATGATGAGTGGGTAAAGGCTGACCGTGAGGGAAACCATGATAGAAAGCTAGAGATATACAAGATGATGGATGTGCATTTTCCTTTCATGGATTCAGCCAGCCTACCATTTTGAGTTGGCATAGGAGCACGTGCACTTGGCTACCGATGCCAAAGGAGGAGTGAGAAACTTAAGCCACTCCATGCACCCGACTGCAGACCCCCTTTTCAGGTCAAAAGGAACCTGTCCGCATATATATAATATATATGATATATATATATTTAAAATAGTTGCTTATTTTTTTTTTAACATTTGCTTGTTTGGAGAGTTTGCAAATGAAAACCGTGCTCCACAAGTCTCCCTCCTGGGTGCGCACAGGAAGCAGGATTAGCTGCCAGTTGGGTTGCTATGTTCAGTTCAAAACCTGCTTTCACATGTAATAATTCAGATTTGATGACCTAGACCTAGTGACAGTCAGGAAACGTTGGTATTTGGTATTTATTTTGGATAATACCTGCACACTGCCGACGGCACAAAGAGGAGACAACTGCAACTACCCCAGTCTTAACATACTTAGCAGTGAGGATTGCCAGCCAGTGGTGACATTTTTGCAAGATGTGTGAGATGTGCAAGCATGCATAATCTCATATTTTGGACTTGGACAAACAACGATGCGCAATGGTGTCATTATCATTTCACAATTCATGTGTGTGCTGTCCACACAGGAAAAGTACTGAACATGCACGACCCATATAAGATTTGCTTGTGGACAGTACCATTCTGCATATGGAACATTTTGGAACTCTATATGTTTAAAGCAGCAAGATCAAGAAAAACGCATTCAAGCAATGAACTCAAAGCACCTTTGGTTTTATAATGAACAATTTACACCTGGTGCATTGTGTGCAAGATGATAAGGCGGAATGCCCTCATGCAGGGTATTTTTGCAATAAACAGGCTAAAAACTATCAGACGGCGAACGAGTTGCAACAAAGTCTAGTCTATAAGTGTATCAATGCTGTAAAGATAGACAAGTTGCAAAACATGGACTTCAATAACTACAATTCATCACGGAAGCTCTTCAAGCAACGGCAGTGCAAACACGATGTGAAAGACATATTTTTTTAACATACAAGAGTAACCAAAACTGTGGGCACTATTAATCCCCCTTTGTGGCCAGGCTGGGTCGGTCAGATCTAAAGAATTTGGAGAGTGAATCATGTTTCCCCACGCTCGCCAGGCCACAAGCAATTTTAAAAGATGTTGTGAGCCGATTTGGATGTAACAAAAGACACGGAAAACAATCCATTCCAGCTTGCTTTGTTGGACTTGTAACTCTGCCGTCCTTTTTCCGCTCAAGGCATGATTGAGAAACTCTGGAAGGTTGTCGGGTCAGCTCCGCCTTCTCTGAGCTTTTCTTTCGGTTGTCCTGCCCTTTCCATTGCGGTGCCTCAGTCCTCCCCTGGTTCCTGTCTGGCCTGGCTTTGGGCTTCGTCTCAGCTTACCTCCTTGGAATTCTATCTGCCTCTGCCTTTCAAAGCTTTAGGCCTGTCATCTTTCCTGGAGGTGGACAGTCTGGTGAACGGGAGGTGGAACGACCTTTGCACCCCGGCTTGCAAGCTACAGTGGATGAGCATTCCGGTGCCTTGAGAGGATCTGAGCCCTCGTCGAAGCCGTCAACCGCCTATCTTTGGCATTTTAACAAGCCTCCTCCTCTACATCCGCACCACCTGATCGTGTGTCAGTGCCATCACTCTGGGTGGGAGTTGGGAGTGGGGAGTTGAGCCGTGGAGACAAACGCTCATGCCGCAAACGCTTCAGCATTTTTAGAGGTCTTGCAGCGTGTTTCACTATTCCAAGCTGCCAACATACCCACAAAAGCGTGGAACGCCCTGCTGCAGAGTGCAAAGCCATGAGGCTAGCAAGGACAGGCACATGGACAGTGCCGGGTGGAGTGTTTGGGTGTTACTGTTGCATCCTCCAAGCATGAGAGTAGAAGAAGAGACCGAACCAAGAGGAGTTTCTTGACTACTTATTATCTCTAATAAGTACCATTTCTTGAAGGGGAGTTTCTTCTTACTCTAATAATTAACTACTCATTATTAGAGTTGCTTGACTTTGGTTATCTCTTCAAAAGTCCGTCTCATTCTGTCACATGTAGACAAGTAGATGAGTATATGTTTATGTCCATATTTGTTGGTTCCCTACTTTTCTATTGGCGTTGATTTGCTCCATGAGGTCTTGGCAGAATGGAACTTCCTGCTGCCTCGCCAAAGCATATGTCTTAAATGTACCTACTCTCGCCCACTAACAACCGTCCAAAAGCAAGGCTAGAAGAACCAACGATTTCTGTGACCAATAGCCGCCTCTTGTTCAGAATCCGTTCTAAAAGTGACACACACAAAACTTCTTGCTTTGCACCGCCAAACAAAAAGACATGACACAATATATTGGGTTTCGTTTCTTTCCTGCTTTCCTTTCAATAGTAGTATTCAGGCATCCAGTATGAGGAGTTTGGTTGTTTCAGGTGTATTGCCAATAGCTGCATAGGCTGTTAGGCAGCTTTGGGCTGATGCCTTTCCTTGCAAAAGGAACATGCGAGGGATTTTCGCATTGCTTCGCCGGCTTTTGGAAGTACCATTGTTTTCGCACTTTTGGGACCCTGGGACCCTCGCAGTCAAAAGGATTGGTACTGCTTTGCTGTTTTGGAGATCCTTAGAGCAACGTTTTTGGTTTTGGCCTGAAAACAACGGCATTTACCGTGTTTGTTGGAAGCCGCCATGCAATTCAAAAAAAACAGTGGTACGGTATCTATGGTGCCTTGTGCCAACAACCATCCAGGACCGGCTTTTGTCAAAGCAGTTTTGAACTTATTGCACACTTTGCCTTTTCAAAAAATGGGCCTAAACAGGTCAAGAACTTTCGGGCCACTTCGAATTATCGAAAGCGCACGCAGCCTAACCTGCTCCCCCCCCTTCCAGCAGGATTTTTGGTGAGTTAGGGTGCGAGCCAGGGTAGCAAGCTAGGGTCTGATATTTTGCGTGCGTTATGGCTTTGCCAGATTGAAGCGCTTCGCGGAACCCGTGCTGGGTGAGACAAGGTAGGGGAACCTTGGGTAAAAGTGGGCTGTTTATCGTAAAAGGCCAGTGTCCTCGGTTTGTTTTCTTCCAAACGTACCAGATTGGCTGGACATTTTCGTTCAATCGGCGATTGTGTGCACGGCCCCTTTTCCTTTCTTGGAAGGCTGCCCTGTGCGAGGGCTACAGGTATTGTTGCATGGCATCGCTGGATTTCTTTTTTATTAGATTTTGCTTTGCAAGCAAAGAGGTTTCTTGAACTTCCCATTATCCTTTGCGAGGTCTTGTCAGAAAGGACAATTTGCTGCGCCACGTATGTACATGGGCATTTGGTTTTCTTGCTTTCTGGTCTTCATATGGGACCCTTTTGCCATTGCAGCATTGCATTGCTTCTATTTTCCGGACTGGAAGCGGTGTACTTGTCGGGAAAGATACATTTCTTTTAATATGAATCGTCGAGATCGAGATCTTTCAAAGGATGTTTGTTTTCCGTGGTTTAGACTCAGATTTGGTGAACACAAAGATGTCATTTTGATGTTGTGAGAACAAAGAGGGCATGTTGAAACAGTGAAGATGATACATATTTTGGGTGCAACGGTCCAGGCTGCCCTTGTTGTGTTCGCACATAGACCGAAGGCTGGCACACCCAGACAAGCACACTCACTCCCGAGGCCTGTGTTCGTCACATCCACTCCCATGCCGAACGTTCGGGTTGCCTGGGTTTTGTGGGTCAATTCACTAATGACTATGTGGAGGAAGCCGTTTCCGTTTCTGGGCCAGAGCAAGATGATATCACTGCTTCCCTGTACCTCGCAGGGTTGGATTGGGTTGGATTCGGAGTAGCTGAGTAGCTAGAGTGGAATTGGAGACCACAACTTCTGAATCCTTTAGTCGAGTGCTCTTTGAATGTCCTGATGGCTCCGCTCGAGCCCGAGACTAAGCGGTCACGAGGTGCCACCTTCAGGCGCTGGCGTCCGCCACAGCGGGAGGTGGTGCCACTGCCCACAGTGGAAGAGGGGGAGGCACAGATGCGTTATTCGTGTTGTGTTTGACCAGCAATTGACATGGGCAGCGTTTGCTAGCATTTTTGGGGCCAAGCAGCATTTTTGTTTTCCCGAAACCCGAGTGGCAAAGCTTGGAGATGGTCGGGCTTCGTGCTCTGCTTTTGTGATATCAAATATCGCCGAAAGTCATGGCTGGGAGGTTGGTTGAGTATACTCTTTGGGTTCATGAACAAGCTGCAGTCATCCACATTTGAATGTCCGGTTAGTTTAGAGTGCTCTCTGCTTTTGGACCACTAAACTACCACAGGCAAAGTGGCAAGTATTAACTGGTCTTTGAACAAGGTCAGGACACTGCATGCTACCCAACTTCTTGAAGTAGAAACCCAGCACTGTGGTTGCCTTTAACCTTGATTGACTGCCTTGGTCAACCAGGCATCGAGAGATTCGCTTCCGAGCCCTACGGTGCCAGTGGGCATGATTCTGGCAGTGATTGTCGACAGCAGTGTGGACGGTCCGGAGCTTGGCACAAGTGTGCTGAGAACTGAATAATTGATCACATGCGACTCCGCAAATGCATTATATAAATACGTCAATGTTTGCATCCCGTCACTAGTGTCAGTTCCTTCCAAGCACATACAGATAGGGAGAGCTAGACTTCCACAGATACAGTGACTAAAGCCGTAGAAGCAGCCAGATGACATGAGCTGCTTGCCTGACAAGATTTTGCCAAGTCCTGTATTTGTTGTTGCAAGAGGGCATGTAGAAAAGTCGTGGGTTTCCTTTCGCTGTAGAGGGCACTGAGTCGATCGCCAAATGAGAATGAAAAACAGAAGAACAAACTCACAGAGGCTGGGGTCGAAACGACCTGTAATGTAAGAGTATCGAGTTCTGTGTCATAGCAGAACTACAGAAACGCTAAAAAAAAACAGATGTTCATCAAGAAGAATATATCCGTTGAAACACACCGCTACAACACACGGCCAATCTTTCAATGGCACTTGTATTTTTGCGGGATTCTTTCCATCATTGCTACTGATACTGTTCCCTCGTGTTCACTTCGTTTTAAACTTTTCCCATCCCTGCCCTTCCTCCCCCTTTACCTTCCCTGGCGCTTTCGACTTTCCTTTTGCCTTGCCTCCACAACAATAGTGTTGGACTCAAGTTTGACAGAATACCTCTAGCTTCGAAACCGCATGACACAGACGTTTTGTTGGATATTCACAACATTTGTGTCTGACTCCGGCACGGCTGCAAGTTGGAAAGCTTGAGTTTGA